GTTTACATATGCTTCAGGTTACAGACTCTGCTAACCCAGAAATAGTGCTTCAGGTTAAGAACTTTGCTTCAGGATAAGAACAGAAATTGTGCTCCGGCGGCAGCAGCAGCAGGAGGCCTCATTAGCTAAAGTGGTGCTTCAGGTTAAGAACAGTTTCAGGTTAAGAATGGACCTCCAGAACGAATTAAGTACTTAACCCGAGGTGCCACTGTACTGAGACATTTCCCACTCAAATGCCTTGCAGAGGACATCAGAGCCCTTTCTGCTCCCCTGGAGAACTGGGCCCCCCAGAGGGCAATATGAAATTTTGGCCAGATGTGACCTGCATAAAGGAGTCTCTCTCCCCCGCCCCCCAACCACACTCTGTGATCTGGAGAGGTGGATAGTGGTTTGAAAGCCATCCAATGAATTTTTTTTGGAATTTTTATCAAATTGATTTCCTTCCTGCCCACGATATGGTAGTGCCTCCTTTGCTCTCTCTGCAGTTTTGGGGGAGTGTTTGAACCATCTAACCCTGTTCAGTGTGCCTCCCAGTCATAAGAGCACTTAATGTATATGAGTCATTCCGTCTTACTTTTCAGCTTGTTTTTCTGCTGCTGTCCTTGATGCTATAGGAAGGCTCCACTGGGCTGTAGGTGGCAACATATTTTTTCTCCCGACAAAATGCAGATATTCTCACTAATGAGCTTCTGTAAACAAAGCAGTTAGCCATTTTCACCTGGTTTGTCAGCTGGTGTTGTATAGGGCTAGAGGCAATATGTAGCATTTTGGAGCTCTTGAGTGGTTCTTGTGTCTTTGGGAGTTGCTGACCACACAGAAGAACCTTCAGTTGGAGGGGTGGAGAGGGGACAGAAAAATGCACCCTCAATCTTTGAGAGACTTGCCTAACCAAGCTAAGTTTGTTGCCTGAGACAGAGTTTACAGATGGGGTGCTCTCAGTAGTAATGATCAATTGCTATGTAATTGGTTGATATTGCTGCCCTTTCACGGTACCCCAAAATCAGCTGACTTGGCTGATGCCTCTAAATTAGGAGGATTTGCTTGTGGATTTCCCTTAAATTAACACCTGTGAACACATGACAGATCCAGCTAGCCCAGAATAGTCTGCACAGACTGAGAATGGCTCTCCAGACGTCTCTGGCAGAGGTCTTTCCTACCTTTGTAACCTGGAGATGCTGGCGATCGAACTTGAGAAGCATGTCTGCTACTCCTGAGCTGTGAAGTTGCTTTATTCTCACCTAGTCCAGTACTGCCTGTTCTTATTGCCTTCAGCTCTCCCTAGATCCCGGAGGTGCTGCCAAAGAAACATTTTGACTATAGAGATTCTAGAGATTCAACCTGGGACCTTCTGGTCCTCAGGGAGTTATAGAGGCAGGAAGAGCGACTTGCCAAAACTGAAGGGGATGTATAATACTTCTCAAGGCATTCCTCTTTGGAGGGACGATCCCAAATGAAACATGTTTGCAAAGAGGATGAATTCCACCCTTTCAGCTTTAACTTGAGAATAAAGGATGTGCATTCTAATGGAGCTTCAAAGGGGTGACAAAAATTCCAGACGCAGGACATAGGAAGAGCCCAGCTGCATCACACCAAAGGTAATCTCAGCAGGCATCCTGTTTCCCCCCCGGAGGCCAACCAAATACGTCCTGGGAGCCAGAAAAGTAGGGCCCAAAAGCAACAGCAGACATCAGGGGAGTCTTCAGGGGAGCTACTGTTGTGCCCTTGAGTGGGTGAGAAACTGACATAAAAAGAGCCCTGCTGAATTGGGCCAAAGCCCAGTCCGGTTCAGCACCCGGTTCTCACAGTGGCCAACCAGAAGCCCATGGGAAGCCCACAAGCAGGACCTGACCATCACAGCACTTTCCCCACCTATGATTCCCTGCAGCTCAGGGACATTCTGCCTCCCACAGCAGAGGGAGAACAAAGCCATCGTGGCTAGTGGACATTGATAGCCCTGTCCTCCATGGATTTGTCCAATCTTCTTTTCAGGCCATCCAAGTTGATGGCCATCATTTGTTCTTGTGGGAACAAATTCCTTAGTTTTAACTATGCTGTATGTGTAAAACACCAAAGCCCACTTTCTTTCACCTGACCTGCATATGCCAGCATTCACTTTTGTTGGATATCGCCGAGATCTAGTTATGAGAGAGAGAGAAACTTATCCCTAACCACTTTCAGCTTGCCTGAATCTACTCTTTTTTCTTTTGCACGCTCTTGATGCTGGTGAACTGTGATGACAACATTGTCATTGTGCCAACGTCAACCTTTTGCCTTCAGCTGTGCCATCTCGGCCCCTTCACAGGGGCCAGTTAATCAAATTAACAGGCTGGCAGCTTTGTACCCTCTCCCATCACACACTCTCCTCCTGCCTGCCCCCCCCCCCCACTTTTTCCTCCACAAAGAGAATTGCTGCTGTTCTTGCTCTTCTGCATTGTGGGATTGCTCCATGCCACGCGTCCTCTGCGCCTTTGGTTTCTCCTCCTGCCCTCCCACGACCACACAGTGTTTCTCTTATACCAGGCTGCAGCTGGCAGAACGACCACTTTTTTCTTCTTCTAATACCTGTGCCAGGTGGTGGGATGACTGGGGAGATTTTGGTCCCTCCCAGACTGCCCCACTTGAAGTGTTGTTTTTCAGGAGTTCCCTAGCTCAAGGATGAGGCTTTGAGTTGGGGGGGGGCACGGAGGGAATAGGGGAACAAGCAATGGTGTGGCTTCCCCATCTTCAGCCACTGTCGCCGTTAGAAAGCTTGGGAGACGTAAAGGAAAGTTTAATAGGCAACCTGCTTGGGAGAATTTCTTTTAAGAAGCAAAACAACTTTCCATTTTCTTAACAATTGGCTTGGGGGTGGGGTGGGGGAGATGCTCAATATTACTGTTCTTATTGACACGCATCTTGCATTTCAGCATCTAATTTAACCACCGCATGTGAGTCTGTGGAAATGGCCTCTGATTGCAGAGCACTCTTCAAAAATAGATTTAAAAATACGGAGCCCATCTTGGAGATTACAGGGCGTTCTTCTTGAGTATGGTAAATTGCCCTGAATTGGAATGAGAGGAGCAGGCAGCAGACCCATGCTTTACATGGGAGGGGGGTGGAAGCAACACTAGCTCCACTTCCTTTTCTCTTCTCCCTCCCCCCCCCCCCTCTCTCTCCCCGCCACCCCCAGTTCAGAAGGCTGCTCCTGTGGAGGAGGAAACCCTTTAGAAAGCCAGCTATCAAGATTGTTGCTCTTCCACCCAGTCTGTTTCCTTTAATTGTCAGGCTAGCTGGGGCTTTCAAGAGGAGACAAAGAGAGAAGGAACAATGGCAATGCAGAGAGAATGTGAGGAATTCAGCTGGCTGCCTTATCCAAACCTGGAGGGGTGTCTACCTATTGAAAGAGCATCCTTGGTCCCATTCAGTAGCTGAAGTGGTTGGCCCAGGAGCCAACATCCTGCTGGGGGAAGCACATGGCGTCCGCTTCTGTAGGAGGGAGACATGTTGAGCTGAAAGCAGGGAGAGAAGCAACTCTTTGCAGTTGCAGCTGCAACTCCCCCAGGACACGGTTGGCCTGTGCCTTTTGCTTATATTGTGCAGCTGCAATTTTCAAACTTTCTACCTTTGGGGAGCACTTTCTGCACTGATTTCATCTGCCGAGGAATAAACCGCAGCGTCTGCCGCAGAAACCCAGCTCTTCCTTTCTTCGGTTTCTTTTATGAATTGCTTCCCGTAATGTGCCTCGAAGCAGTTTCACAGTAGAAAACAGCAACAATTAAAACAATTCCATACATGGCCCGTGGGGCAGGGCGGGGTGGGACAAATCTAATGCAGATACAGCCTGGGATAAAGACACCCACTTTGAAGATTTGTTGAGAAAGGAAGATCTCCACTAGGGGCCAAAAAGGCAACTGAGATGGGTGCCTGCCTGCTTTGTTAGGTGTCACCATACTGAAGACCTAATTCCTACAAGGTATGGAATGGACCGCCTTATGAGACTCTATCTGCAGGAGCCTCTCTTCTGCATGTAACAGCAATTGGTTGGTAATATAAGGGCAGAGATGACCCTTTAAGAGCATTATTTTATAGAGCATTCTTGGGCATGTTCTAGGGCCAGGCTTCTCCTTCTCCAGGAATCTTGTTTCATCAATCCTGCTTCAAAGGCAATTCTCATAAAATTTGAGGAAGCTGCCTTATCCAACCAGACAATTTAGCTCAGCATTGCCTATGGCACTGACCAGCAGTGGTTCTCCAGGGTTTCAGGCTGGGAATTGAACCTAGGACTCTCTCTGTGCTTTGTCACCCTTCCCATTGTAGTTATTGCCGCATCTTCTGGCATAATAATAAGTGGGTCCTTCTACAGCATGTTTCAGTGTAGAGTGCCATGCCTTTTTCTAGATTCCTCCACCCACTCGCTCTGGTTTTCTGTCCCATCCTGACTCTCACCCTCACAACCCCAAATCAGACAGCATTCTGTGTCTACTGAGTTTGCTCAGTTCTTACTGAGTCGTTTCAAGGTTCTGCTTGTACATTTCCCGTGGGCATCAGGTTGGCAAGATGGGCCTCTTAATGCTGCTCTCATTTCAAACATGTTTGAATGCCTGGCAACCAAGCAGCAAAGACTGTTACGCTCTGGAGACCAAGGAGCAAAAGGATACAGAACTGCTAGCTGTCGGGAGGGGAGCATCAATCTGCGCTCGCCCTGCTGCAGCCCGTCTTTATGGTCTCATTCATCATAGGTTTCCACCATTTCATGGGCCGTTCACTAGCTAACCCACAATGTGCTTTAGGCCCCTTACAGTTCATTTTCTGAAAAGCTGGCCTTGACTTCTTCCGAACTGCATTTATGAGAACTTTCTCGCAATTCTGTCGCACTGCCGGCTTTTTCTTTTTATCACTAGTCAAAACAACATGGCATCTTTCTTTGCCTGCTCAGTCACAGTAGATTTCCTCTTACTCAGTTTCATGTAGTTAAGACTGGCCTACAAGCATCATTGTCTGTTTGTCTGTCTCCCTTGCAGGTTCTATGCCCGAGATTCCGGGCTTCTAAAGTTTGAAATCCAAGCGGGACTCCTGGGCCGGCCCATCAATCACACCGTCCGACGCCTGGTTGCATTCACCTTCCACCCTTTCGAGCCCTTTGCTATTTCGGTGCAGCGGACTAATGCAGAATATGTTGTAAACTTCCATATGAGACACAGCTGCACGTAGCACGCTTTCCCCTTATGGTCGCCATGGGCACTGAGTGTACGCATTTTGTCAGAGGCACACCAAAGCTGAGCATTCATGCTCTAGGAAACCAAACAGCTTTAGAGGAGTGATGTGCATCTCATCTAACAGTGTACGGCTTTGATGCGTTGCCTGAGTACAGATGAAGTCATCGTAGTTTTCCTCATGTTTCTCAGACTTTCAGCCCTTCTGCCATTCTCAATAAGCAAACAGATTATATTGTAAATTACTTCTGCTCCAATAATGCCTCGCATTGTTTTGTTTTTTAAAAAGATTGGCATTGCTACGTGAGCAAAATACAACAGAGGAACCATTTCCTTTTAACACCAAAGATTTTAGTCTTTCCTTCTCTCCATCTTCCCGCACTGCAGTCTTGTAACAGTGGGATCAGAGTTCATCGCTTCAGAGTAGAGGTGTAAAATTTATGGAAATGTTAAAGCTCTGGAAAAATGTAATGTGTGTGTTGTTTTTCAGGGAGAGGGTGGCGTAATTTTTGAGGACATTTGAAATATATGCAATATTTATTTTCTTATGAAACCCAAATGTATTTTTACTGCTTTAACAACATAAAATGCATAATTCGCAACTTGGCACACAAAGCTATATCATGTGGCGTATTTATGAAATTGATAGGACAGCCCTATGCATATTTAGGTATATGTCCCACTCTTTAGTGATGCTAACTCCCAGGTAAACAAAGCGTAGGATCGCAGACTCAAAAGTATAAAAACGCCTTATTTTTGTGCAAGCAAAGTTGCAAGTATACCCAATTCTAGAGAGAGATGCAAACTGCTGTACATGTATCTTACTTTTTTGCCACCTGAGAAGTGGGGGGGGGGGGGAATAAAAGTTGAAAATAAGAACCACAAATTTTGTAGTAAAGTAAACAAAATAAAGTGTATGGTCCTCTCATGAAGATAGCAGGACCCTCTAGGTGCAGAAATGCTTAAGGATTTGAGTGTTGTCATTTATCACTACAGTATATGTTAGGTTTGGACTACAACTCCCATCAACCCTGACCATTGCCAGTGCCAGCTAGGGCTGCCAGCTGAGAGTCTGAAGGCCCACAAATTTCCCATCCCTGCTGTAGATTGGCTTACACATAAATATTTAAAACCTTTTCCTTAAAAAGCATTTCATTATTTTTTTAAAAAAAACACATTTCAATGGAGCTGCTTTTCAGGGTTCCTCAAAATGTCCATTTCTTCTGTGTGAAAAAATAAGTTCTCAAGGGAGAAAAAATCCCTGTTCCCCTTCTTCCCATCCCACTCCAATATTTCCATTCTCCCCCTTGTTTTTCCTCAGTCTTCACATCTCTAGGGTCTTTCTACTCTAGTCAAGAATTTATTTGTTTTTCAGAAAGAAAAAGAGAGAGAAGTTTGCTTTTTATCTTCCTGCTACCCACGTTCTGTTCTCCCTTTGCCATAGGTAAAGGTAAAGGTACCCCTGCCCGTACGGGCCAGTCTTGACAGACTCTGGGGTTGTGCGCCCATCTCACTCAATAGGCCGGGGGCCAGCGCTGTCCGGAGACACTTCCGGGTCACGTGGCCAGCGTGACAAAGCTGCATCTGGCGAGCCAGAGCAGCACACGGAACGCCGTTTACCTTCCCGCTGGTAAGCGGTCCCTATTTATCTACTTGCACCGGGGGGTGCTTTCGAACTGCTAGATTGGCAGGCGCTGGGACCGAGCAGCGGGAGCGCACCCCGCCACGGGGATTCGAACCGCCGACCTTTCGATCGGCAAGCCCTAGGCGCTGAGGCTTTTACCCACAGCGCCACCCGCGTCCCTCCCTTTGCCATAATGCTGCCTAAATCTGCCCACCCAAAAGGAGTAAACAAGGAGTATTCTCTTTGCAAGCCAGTTTGTGGTATTCCCCCCCCACACACACAATTAAATAGTATATAATCTTTTTGGAAATAAAACATTAAAGGAGAGGGACATGCCTTTCGGCGCTGAGGTGGGATTTAATTCTGCAAATAACTGGAAACGCAAAAGGTAGGCCTTCCATGTTGTTTCAGCTGCATAGTGGCTGTCCGTGTCTATCACAGGCACAAAGGGATGGCCTTGTTAACTTGTGCTGGTCACTGGAGACCACAGTACAGATATGGCCCACCCTGATCCATTGGTCAATACAAAGAGCCATCTTCCCTCCAGCCACATTGAATGACCGGCACATTTTTGGACACCCACCCAAAATTCACAGCTCCGTAATTTAGGTCTCGGTCCACCTGTCTGAGGATCAGCCTTGGTTGTATCTTGCCAGTTCTCATCAGGAAGCAAAGCCTTTAACGGAGTATCTTTGGGGGGCATTCCCACTGGAGGGGAAAGCACTGTGCATCTCACTCTCTCATTGCACTGCTGTGAGTAGGTGCAACAACTCTGCACATTTGGACCTTGGGAGGTCTGGGTGAATTCCCATGAGATCTAAATGAGCATCACTGAGCAATATCTTAACTCTGATCTAGGAACCTGCCTTGTACCAAGTCAGACCATTGGTCCACCTAGCCGAGTATTGTCTACAGGGACAGGCAGTGGTTCCGCTTGGTGTCAGGCAGGGTTCTCTCCCAGGCTGACCTGGATATGCTTTCAATTGAACCTGGGACCTTCTGCATGCAAAGCTGATGCTCTGCCACTGAGCTACGACTCTTATTTGCAATAGGTAACTTTCTGCTGTCTTGGTCCTGGAAGGTCCTTTTGAGCAGGGTCAATCTTGCACTGTTCACCCTGAAAGCTGTTTAGCTTTAGAAGATTCTCTTTGCTTCTGTGGAACAAAGTGACTTGCAATTGACATCCTTGGGCCTTAGTTTCCGGAGACAAAGAGTGAATGTGTCTAGCATCCCTGTTTTCAGAAGCCCACAAGCAGGACCTGAGCACAACAGCACTCACTCAGCAGTATTCAGAGGCATACTGCCTCTAGTGGTGGAGGTAGAACATAACCATTTTGGATAGCAACCATTGATAGATTTATCCTACTGAAAAGTGCTGCGAATAAGACCTGGCATAGCTCAGTTGGTATAGCATGAGACTCTTAATCTCAAGGTCGTGGGTTCGAACCCCACATTGAGCAAAAGATTTCTGCATTGCAGGGGGTTGGACTAGATGACCCTTGTGGTGCCTTCCAACTCTATGATCCTGTGTTCACAGCTATGAAGTATTGGGAGTGTGTGCTAAAGGGAGGTGGGCATCACAGTGCAGCAGGGCAGAGCCTATCGCTATATTATCTGCAACAATGTATGTTCTTGCTCCCCTTTGATGTCTTTAGGAAACCTAAACGGATAATATTTACACCTGATATTTTTGTTTCCACCAGGGATAGGGTGTGAATTTGTTACCTGTGTGACGTTAAAAGCAAAATAAACTGGAATTCTATTTTTTAATACGGCTTTGTGTTCTCTTTGCTTTGACATACATTTTGCAGAACAGACATAGGCAAACTCAGCCCTCCAGATTTTTGGGACTACAATTGCCATCATCCCTAGCTAACAGGACCAGTGGTCAGGGATGATGGGAATTGTAGTCTCAAAACATCTAGAGGGCTGAGTTTACCTATGCCTGTTCCAGAACCTTTTGCAGAGGTGTTTTTCCATAACATCCAAACACATGAAGTCTAAGGGTGAAGCTGGATATAACAGGGACACCCAAGTTTCTTTAGTCACAACTCTGTCCTGCTTGCATCTAAGCAGGGTCAGCGTCTATTTTCATAAGAAAAGCTCAGGTTAGGCTGGAGAGAATGACTGACCAAAGATCCCTCATCAGTCTTCATAGCATCAACTCATCATGCCTTAAGACCATTTGAACTCTGATTTCATTGGTCCTAGTCTGAAATTCTTAACCAATACCATGCTGACTCCCAAGTGCTCCAAAAAGCACATGACTGACATGGGACAGGATTATGTGTGTTCACAAATGTATGTCACTTGATTTCTCTACACTTGTCTGCTGTTATCTTAAAGGCTAGCTGCAGAATGAATGTACAGTGGTACCTTGGTTCCTGAACAGCTTGGCTCCCAAACAAATTGGCTCCTGAACACTGCAAACCTGGAAGTAAGTGTTCCGGTTTGCGAACATTTTTTGGAAGCTGAACGTCCATTTTGGCTGTCGGCATTGTTTCCGGGGCCAATCAGAAGCTGCACCTTGGTTTGCAAACGTTGTGGAAGTTGAACAGACTTCCAGAACGGATTGAGTTCAGTTCATGAACCAAGGTACCACCGTATAAATTGAAAAGCATCATGAAATGACATCCAATTGCCTCTCCTGTGGGAGCCCATTCTCCCATGCCCATTCACACACACCAGGATGCTGCAGTCGGCCAAGGGATGAACCTTCATGTGTGAACTAGCTCTTGATGACTAGCAGCTGAAGGCAGCCAGTTAGCCCACTGGGAGGAGGCAATGCCAGCAGGGAGGAGCATCATTGTCAGAGTGGACCTGCCAGACAGCACTTTGCAAGGGCTCCAGGGCTGGTCTGACACAAGGTCAAGCTGGTCGTCGTCCCCGCCTCCACAATTGCATGTACAGAATCTGATCAAACTAGCAGTTGACTCTTTCTCCAGCACTGGAGATAAGGCAACTGCTTCCGCCATAGCCATGGGACCTGTTAGAAGATTTGCGAGGATGGTGGGGCAGCTGCCTCCCATTATATAATGGTAGGGCTACAACAGCTACAAGAGTATTGTTAGCCCAGAAATGGAAGCAAGAAGATATTCCGACGGAAGAATGGCAGACAAAATTAATGAACTACACAGAATTAGACAAAATGACAGGAAGGATTCGAAACCTGCGGGACCAGAGACTTACAGAAGATTGGAAGAAATATACGAATGATTTGAAGAGCAACTGTAATCAACAAATTACGCTGGTAGGACTACAAGAAGTTTTGTAAGGAGAAATATATGAAATGTTACAAAGTAGAGAAAGAATAGAGATACAGTATTAGTTATGAGATTTAAAGGTAATAGTGAAAGTAAGAAATATATATTAAGTGAATAGATTGGAAATTTTTCAGATGTGATTGATGGAAGTCAAAAAAATTGTATAAGATGGAAAAGTATAATTAATTACTGTTGAAAATGATATGTTAAAAACCAATTATATATATATATATATATATATATATATATATATATGCTTTCGTAGATTTTCACGGGTACAGGAATGCAGGTTTTGGTGTCCTCGGGTGTCTTCCCGTGTAAAAGTTGGGGTGTCTAGGCGACGTTTCGACGAGGTCTCACTCGTCATCTTCAGGCTGGTGCTTTCGGCTTCTTGTTACTGGAACAGAGCAGGATCTCAGTGTTTGAGTTCCTATAAATACTGTTGAGGGGGCGTGGTGTATAGCCTCCAATGTTTTATATATATATATATAAAATAGTAGGGCCTAACCTGGATGGTTGCTACTTGGGTGTCCTTGCCAAGCATAGTCTTCCATTTATTTGCTTTTTAAAAAGATCCATTGTGTCACCTTATCAGGTCACAAAGCCCTTGATCCATACAAGGGAATGGAAGAGTCGCTGCCCTTTTGCATGCATAGAGTGGACAAACAACCACTCTTTTCAACTCGGAGCTGCACTGGGAACATTCCGTGTAGGGGGCTGCCTCTCCTGGTTGCCATGGTGACTGTGATCAGCAAGAGCTCCATCCTGGCTTGGCAGTGGGAGGGAGAAGGGCAAACTCTCCCTATCCCCTCAAGTGCTCTCCAAGGGCAACAGGTACACATAATCCTGGCGTTGCTGCGTTTTCAAGTCCCCGGCGAGCACCTAAGAGCTACTAAACGGCCAACTCTAAGCTTTGCACCTGTTGTACCGGAAAGGCTCAGCACATGGCTTCTTTTCTGATTAACGCTTTAAATTAAATCTCGGGGAGGGAATTGCTGGATGTGTTCCAAGACACCTCCGTTTGCTGCTTTGGCTCAGTTCCATTCAGGGAAAACCCTTCCTTTCCTGCCAGACGTTGCCTTCCTTCTCTTGAAAATCTGCTGGAAGAGCAGCCGAAAGGATAACCACCAGCCCCAACTAGCCCATTTTCAGACGTTCAGTTCTACGGAGAGCTGAAGCTTCAAAGTTTGCTCAGCCTTGCGGGCCCATTGCTTGGAGGCTGCAGCATCAAGTGGAAGAAGAAGAGGAGAAGGGTTTGGATTTTATATCCCGCTTTATCACTACCCGAAGGAGTCTCAAAGCGGCTAACATTCTCCTTTCCCTTCCTCCCCCACAACAAACACTCTGTGAGGTGAGTGAGGCTGAGAGACTTCAGAGAAGTGTGACTGGCCCAAGGTCACCCAGCAGCTGCATGTGGAGGAGCGGGAAAGCGAACCCGATTCACCAGATTACGAATCCACCGCTCTTTTTTTTTTTTTTAATAAATTTTTTATTGCGTTCCTTTCCATAACTTCAAACAATCCAAACACCACAAAAACATTAAATGCAAGAAACAATTTTTCCTTTTCTTTTACATTCAAAAACAGATTAAAGATCAAACCAAAAAAGGTATATAAACCATTCCATGTTTGGACTTCCCCACACCCTCCGGAACTGCATTCTTTATAGTTTAATACTGTCAGCAATTTGTTACCTTGTTTCATACCTTATTGTAACTTTCAATTTGTTATGCATCCAAATTCAATATATTGTACCTTAATTTCAATGCTTTTTTAAAAATAAACATAACATGATTCAATTTAAATTGTCTCCTTTTCTTTTTTACCACTTATTTTAACATTTACTTAATCCTGTTTGCCAAAGCATAGTATTTCTAAATCATGCACTGACTTAAGATTCATACAGCTTATGATGTTTTTGCAAATAGTCTTTAAATTTTCTCCAGTCTCCCTCGATTATTTCTTCATCCAAATCTCGGATTCTGCCAGTCAGCTCAGCTAATTCCATGTAGTCCATCAACTGCGACTGCCAATCCTCCAGCGTGGGTAAATCTTGTGTCTTCCAGTTCTTTGCGATGAGTATTCTTGCTGCTGTAGTTGCATACATAAACAAAGTTCTATCCTTCTTTGACATTTTCTGGTCCACCATACCCAGCAGGAAGGCCTCAGGTTTCTTAGAAAAGGTATACCTAAATACCTTTTTTAATTCATTATGTATCATTTCCCAGAAGGCCTTCACTTTTGGGCAGGTCCACCAGAGGTGGAAAAATGTCCCTTCTGCCTCCTTACATTTCCAACATTTGTTGTCGGACAGGTGATATATTTTAGCTAGCTTGACTGGGGTCATGTACCACCGGTATACCATTTTCATAATGTTTTCCTTCAAGGCAATACATGCCGTGAACTTCATTCCGGTGTTCCATAACCTTTCCCAGTCTTCAAACATTATGTTATGTCCAACATCCTGTGCCCATTTTATCATGGCAGATTTAACTACCTCATCCTGTGTATTCCATTTAAGCAGCAAGTTATACATTCTCGATAAAGTCTTAGTCTTTGGTTCTAACAATTCTGTCTCTAGTTTCGATTTTTCCACCTGGAAACCCACCTTTTTATCCATTTTAAAAACCTCTTGAATTTGAGCATAATGTAACCAGTCTCGCACCTTATTTTTTAATTTGTCCTGGCTCTGCAGCTTCCAATTGTCTCCAATACTTTCTATTAATTCCCAATATTTCGGCCAGTAGGCCTCCATATTGAGTCTTTTTCGGGCCTTGGCCTCCACCGGTGATAGCCACCTCGGTGTTTTGCACTCTAATAAGTCTTTATATTTCATCCAGACTGCAAAAATTGCTTTTCTGACAATGTGGTTTTTGAACAATTTATGGGCCTTAGCCTTGTCATACCATAGATATGCATGCCAACCAAAAGCATTATCAAAACCTTCCAGATCTAGGACATCAGTATTTTCCAGCAAAAACCAGTCTTTCAACCAGCAGAAGGCTGCAGCTTCATAATACAACCTTAAGTCCGGCAGGGCAAACCCCCCTCTTTCTTTTGAGTCAGTTAGTATTTTGAACTTTATTCGGGGCTTTTTGCCCTGCCAGACAAACCTAGATATGTCCTTCTGCCACTTTCCAAAACATTCCACTCTGTCCACGATCTGCAAGGTTTGAAACAAGAACAACATTTTCGGCA